ACAGTATAATATATTTTCAGTGGAAATAATTGCAGCTGTTTCTTTTCTAAAAGCTCAGTTGAAATGAAAATTTTCAAACATTATGGCAAGTGGTTGATAATGCTGCTTCATTAAATAATAATTTGATCTAATTGATTATTTATTTTACATTTTCTTGGAAAATTATATGTTTGATTAGTAGATACTATTAACATTTCCAACAATAATATATAGTAATAAAAACTACTAGTTGAAAGAATAGGATAAGGTGCCACGAAGTTTGTTTATTGTAACTTTTCTCTGTGATGCCAAAAACAAAATGTGTTAGAGAATAATTTAACGCATTATATATTGAAATTTAATTATATATTGAAATACTTCAGCCATACTCAAAAATATATAACCAGTAATAGTGTTTATTTATAAAGAGTAGGTTTTGTAACCTTTGCTACCTGGAATAAGCGTTGCTATATGGAAGAGGGAAATTTAAAATTTAAAATAAAATGCAACAAAAATTTTCGGTTTAGTAGCAATTTATTGATACTTGAAAAATTAAATGTTCATTTCATGAAAAATGTATGGCCTATTCAGAAGTACTTTTAAGAGACCAGAGAACAAAACTATAAATCATACTATTCTTTGGTGACTTATGCGACTACTCTATTTTTACGTTGTATATTAAAGCTGATTTTTTTTCATTACAAAAAACATTTAGAGTTTTGTCGAATTAATTTTAAGTCACTTAAACTTGAGGCACCTTATCTAAAGTGTATAATATTATTCTTATATTATTGTTAAAGGAACATAAAAATATTTGTGAAGTAATTGTAGTTCAAGTCTTTTGCTTGATGAAGAAATGATCAGCAAGAAAAGTTTTTATCAGACCAGAGCATGCCTAAAATATCGGTTGTTTTTCAAAATAAATCAAAATTTATATTATTCTCTGGTCATTGCTAATGCTTGGATAAAAAATATCGCCAATATTTAACTAAAAATATGTTTCAAAGTAGTTTTAGAACGAATTAGCTGATTAGACAAAATAGGTAGACGTACATGGTAATGTAATTATTTCTGGTTAGAAAATTATCGTTAATTTTAAACATTTTTGTTAATATACACTCAAGGTCGATTAAACCATGCTCTTACATTATATTAATGATAATTTGTGAGCATTCGGTAGATTGTAGAAAACTAATATATAATGTAGACAGTCATAATTATTCCATCTATATAAGCTCATAAGATTACATCGTCATTTTATTGTTAGAGCATAGTGCAATCGTCTCTTAACATATTTTATTATTTTATTAAATATATTGGATATAAATATGTATATATCTTAATTTATCAGTGTTATTTGGCAACTCCATATGCACACACGGCCTGTCCATATAAATGCCTTAATCTCATCATTTATAGAATTTACCCTAGATAGCATTATAACATTGTATACATTATGCATTATTACTTAAACGTAGATATAAATGTCTATGTAACAGAATAATGGAATTATTCAACGTAGGTTCATTAGCATCATGATTCTGGAAATCAATGTATCGATAACATTAAAACGATTGCTATCGATAAAATGACATTGAACAATTGTTCAAGTTGCGAAATTGAGACGGCTGAGTTTATATCACGTTGCATCGCTGCCGGGTGTTCACCTGAAAATAGACAAATTTTATATATAATGTTTTTGAGGATTATTATTCTCACTTCTACAGAAGATAATTAATCTTGTTACTACGGAAACTCGTATCAACTATAAGGAAAACCATATAAAGTGGCGTCAAGTATATAAATAAAATACTACGAGGTTCAATTTAAAATTGTGTGTCAGCACTTTATAACATGCCCTGCATTGAAGCAATTTATCGATATAATTTATGGATATAGAAGATGTTGACGGTGAATTTATGCAAGCATATCAATACTGTCAAATGAATCAATTACTAGGAACACTATCATTACTCAAGCTAGTTGTAGTATTATACTATATTAAGTACATCTATTCCCTGTTTTACACGGAAGATAGGTTCCAAAAACCACTTCTGACATACTTTTTTCTTACTCTCTAGCTTTTTATTTTTATTTTTGCCATTGTTCAACTATAAAATTTTACATAAAATATAGATTTTGCAAATAAATAATTCTTTGAATAAATTTACGCTATCAATTATATAAAAACACTATTTAAAAACAAAGTTTTTTTCTTTGTGTCAACTCCTGAGGCTCTACTCTGTTCTGAATAATTCAAATATATTTTAATACCTTTCTAACAGGATAAGCATTATAAAATCTAATCCTTCATTATAATGTATCCTGTCTCTAGCGGACCCTCAAATATTAATTTTGATTTTCCTTGAATTCGGTTCAAATAAAAGGCAGGTCAACAACTGATTAGACAAAAATGTAATAGGATGTCAATCAGAAAAATAATATATTAATCAATAATATTAAATATATTAATTTTTTTTTAATTTCTATATTAAATAATAATATAGAAAACTTATAAATCATATTTAATCGATATCATTGGTTTAAATTTAATGTAATTACCAGTCTAAAATCAACACTCAAAGTAGCAACAAGGAATATTAACTCAACTTTATATCAACGTATTATTCTATCTAAATATACTATAATTAAAACTACTATCTTTCTATTCTAATCGGTCTGATATAGCTATTATTTAATTATATCTTTTTTTGAAAATAAAAACAAAGTGTAATAACTTAATAGTTTGGCAGCATTTCGGTGGATCATGAGCTTCTATTTATCTATCATCTTTTAAATCCGAACCAAATAGCATATTTATTTTTACCTTTTATGGTCAATATTCTATTATCCACACTTCTAATTGATCATTACGAATCATCTATATTAATCATTTAATACCAAATTTTGATGTTGGAGCTAAAAATATTATGATTCAAGATAATTCGACAGCAAGAAATGATTATCAAAGTATACCGTTTAGGTTTGATTCGCAAAACGTGTAGTTCTAAAGATTACTAAATTTCATACATATTCAAATTAGTTCCAATTACAAATCACTAAAAATTCAATTAAAACGATAGTTTAATGATAGTTTAAATTTTTTCACAACTAATGTCATATTTTTTTAATCAGTGTGATTCTACTAAAAATTGTTTATATGCAAAACAGGCAATATTTTCCAGCAATTTAATTTGAAATTCTAGAATCAATTCAAGTCAGCATCACATATCAATTTCAATACCAATATATATGTTTCATAACAAGCTATTATCGCAATATATGGCGAGTTTGACCTAAATAACAAATATTTTAAGCTAACAATTACAGTTTAGCTTTGTTTAAAATATTCATGTGCAGATTATATAGAATTTGCAAACAAAGAACTAATAATTATTTTGTAAAAAGGGCGGGAAGTGACATAAAACGCAAACCAACATTAATTTAACTTAAAAGCATATATGCAGATAGCGGAATAAGATAAAAAAAACAATTAGTGATGTATGGCATCGTGCCTTGATCCAAATTGCTGGAACTTTTCATACCATAATGAAATATTAAATGTTTTCAAAGTGATGTTTAGAACTTTAGCTAAAATTAGAATTAAAATCCGAATTATTTTTCGATATACAAAAAAAAATGTTTTTTGAAGATTAAAAACAAAAATTGAGATGAAAAATTTTATTCTCGATTCAACACAAGCAGAAAGTTTTCTAAATCATCCAAATAGGATGCTTGGTCTCCCTAAATCTGCCGTTTTTGTCATTTAGCTCTATATCTCCGAAAAATTGTCTCCACACATACCTTCACCAAAATATTCAGAAACCTCTGAAGCGAGAAAATATGCAAAAAAAAAAATAATTTTAGATTTTTGTTCCATTTCTAGAACTTTCCCTATGGAAAGTTAATTTTATGGTACTCATAACAGAAGTTTGATAACGATATATAGAATTATATGCGAATGGTTATTGATAAACTCGTAAAATAAATAATTTTGGGATTTGTTTTAATTGTTAATTGTACTTTTGGATGCATATGATTCTTAAATTTTTGTTAGTAATTTCCAAAGCATTCGATTCCTATGTGGAGATGTGCTGCTTAGTTTTTGGAAGAGGCAGGTCCAGCCGTTACGGAGATATGGAGCAAAGAGTGCAGAAAATAGAAATTGAGTTTTTAGGAGAACGGAGCATCCGATATGAATGATTCAAAAAACATTCAATTTATAATGACGAGGATAAGTGGTGATCAGTTTTTGACAAGGGAAGGTCCAGTTGTTTCGGATATACCGAGTAAAATATGCATAAAATGGGAGTTTTTGAGAGAACTAAGCGTCCGATTTGAGTGATTCAAAAAACTTTCTGCTTGTGTTAAGGAAACAATTACTTTCGATTTTTTTTTTATTTCTCAAAAAATATTTATTTTTAATACCGAAAATATTTCGGATTTTAAGTTTAACTCTGGCTAATATACTTCAAATAAATAATTTACTTTGCTATTTGGTTTATATAATTCTTATAAATATTAAACCATGTTCATAATTTTAAATTTGATTGACTGAGTTTTCTGTAAACATGTGTAAGTTACAATATTTATAATAATCGATTTGAAAACATTTAATTTTCCTCGAATATTTCTTTACAGTACGGGAAGTTCCAGCAATTTGTCATAAGGCACGATGCCATACACCACTAGTTTTTGTTTATTATTTTAACCCTGGAACGGTATTTTGCTTTTTAGTGCGGTAATGGTATCTAATATACGCTTCCTAGGCTTGCGTCGTTATTAATGCATTTTACAACTTTCCGTCTTTTGCCATTGTACAATTTGTGATATCATCAAAGGTTAATGCATATATAAATCTATATATATATATATATATATATATATATATATATATATATATATGTTGACAAAACAATTATCTCTAAGTACTCCATGCATTCTCATATTCGGTCAGTGTGCACATGCAAAGCAACAAATTTGGTATTTCTGTTTGAGCTACTCGTATTTCGAGCATGCTATCACGTGAACTTATTCCAAATGAAAGCGAATAAATCCAATAGCTCAACGCAAATTAATTTATTTGATACATGCTTCGTGGGATCAAAACGAGGTATTCGTTTACCATCTAGTACGTGCAGCGTAACCCGGGCGGGCGCCAGATTTGACGGATGGCATGTGTAGTTGCCGGAATGTTCGCGCTGAGCGGACTCGATGCGAAGAATTCCGATCTGAAATAAAAATGACATTTCTCAGAGTTTTTCGCGTTTCAAATATGTCATATTTACAACCAGTTTTGTCGGATTATAAAAATCGAGATATTTGCATGCGCAAATTTAAAAATTACATTTATGACAACGATACAATTACTTTTACACATATAATTTAATTTTCAATAATTTTTAATACTATTCTGGATGAATAATAATATATATGAATAATTCTGGACATTCTATTATTTTTATTAAGGGGGTATTCTAGTGTAGAAATTCAAAAAAATCGTTTTTTTTTATTTCCTATTTTCAAAGTTTAAATATCTAAGAATATGGGTACAAAAAGGTTTTTGAAAATTTGAATTATTTCCGGAGATATAGGCATTTTACTGACTCGGTCTCCATACTGGTTTGGCTTCACGCAAAACTTTAAATGCGTTTTTCTCAGAACAGACTTTTTCAGTACTGTTGACACGATTTCTCGAGAAGAGAGTCTTGTTTATAGACCTATCTATAGCCCGAACTAGGATTATCCCCAAATTCCAATTTTTACTATTTTTAAAACATTCGAGACACTCATAAAAAAAACAGTAAAAAAAACACTTTTTTCAAACAGTCGCCAATTTGTAAGAAAACATTTTTTTACTGATCGCTAGTTCGAGCGATTGCGAACCATTGTAGATTCATAATCTTTTTATTTCTTTTATTTCGGATGGCTAGGAGGGCTGGAATCATGTCAAGACTGAGGTGCCAATTTTTTGAGACTACCCACTATATCAGCTGGCAGTTTTTTCCACTTTTCAACTTTCTTATTTTTTAATTTTTGTTTTGTATTTTAATAATAATATTAATAAACAAGTGGTAAAAATGGATAGTAAAAACATTCATTGATTTCTTTTAGGACACTTTAAAAATGACCTAAAATTCATCGCTCTACACTAGAATATCCCCTTAAAATTTAACTCCACTTTGAAAACTAGTAGCTTTTATCAAATAATAAATCAAATGTTGATTTTATATACTGCAAACATATTTACTTAAAAAATCAGGTACAGCTTTTAATAATGGGGCACAAAGGTCCAATTTGGCTTCGAGCAAAATTATGTTGTAAAAACCAACCCAAATACATCACAACAAATACCGCATATCGAACAAATAACTGACTATGTTCAGAAGAAGTCCCAGATAATTCATCATTGTAGAAATTATTTTTTTTGCTGATTTTCAAAAATTTGTTCTTTTACCGCATACTCGGATAAAATGGGACGCTCAGAGGGCAAACAAATTCAATGCCTTATTCTCTATTTTAAAGGAATTTTAGGAAATAGTAGATAATTCAAGTGAATAATGAAAAATAAAACTTTTATGGGCACATTTTTTACAAAAATTACACCATACATAAGCTTGGCCCGTATTTCGTCCGAATTTATTTATCAGCAGAGTTGAAACAACTAACAACTTAACTAATCTCTTGTAATATTGCTTTTTTAATTCAATTAACTTCTTCATTAACCATTTTTTATTGTTTACACTTACGCCTCGGTAAAAGTTCAGTTGTTTTTTTTATTTATTCCACCTATGTACATATAAGCTTTTACATAGATTATATAAAAAACGTTTGCATCTAATTTAAAATTAACAATATATGTTATGAAACAATTAAAAAACGTATACTTGAAAATAATATTGAGGTCTTGTAAACTAAACAACGGTTCTCACAACCAAAAAAAAGAACTAACAACGATGATAATACTTGGAGTGTTGCCGTATATTTCCCAATAGCAACGTCGTAAGAATAAAAGTGATGGCTGGTTATACATATTTTTTTCCTCTAATTTCAAATAATGTATTTCAAATAAAAATCTTAATAATACTTGTTATTAAAATATAGGTGGTGGACCATTTTACCCGCGGAACTTTAAGCCTCGCTCTACCCTATATGTAGAAATAAATATACATACAGATTAATTAGCAATGAGTATTAACATTGTAACTTTAATTTGAAATGATGTATAAATTGAACACGACTTTCATTATTAATATTTAGTTTCCTGTTACTGAACCTAAATTTGGTTTCTTTTTAAAATATTTATATTTTATAGATATGAACAAGTAAATAATTTTATGAATTCAATTTTTATGCCACCATATATTACGGACGCCTTAGTGAAAATACGAAAAAAAATTACATTTGAAAAGTTTCAACCGATAAAATGAACATTTTCACAGGTATGCTATTGTTAACCCTTTCCACTAAGTAGTCTTCGTCATGTTCGTATATGTGAATTATAATGGTATTTGAATCTATTGATTGAAGCCTATATGTAATAGTTACGTATTCCAAAAAGTTTCATATATTGTTTTTTATTTAATATAATCATTCAACCCTTGTTCTTAATGTTAAAACTAATTGCTCTAGTGAGTAGTTTTTACTTCGAAGCTAACCTCAATTATAATTTACATATGCAGACACGACAAAGACTAACTTAGTGGAAAGGGTTAGTTTTTGTCTAGTTAAAAAAAATATTAAATTTTACTAATTACAGACAGATAAAGACTTAATCAAAGTTTATCCCTTTTGTGTCTAAAGCAGATTATCAAGGCAAATATTTAATTTTTGATATAAAAATAATCCAAAAATTTACAACATATTGCTTTAGGTATTTTGAATCTACAATAGAAAATACGTATTCAAACGTTGTATAGAAATATCCGTAGCTTATTTGTAAAACAAAGAAACATGTAAAGTTTTTACCGTCGAATCGTCCGGCGTGCGTTCCATACTGGCCGCCCAAGGCGTGTATTTGTCCCCGTATGTCTGCAGTATTCTGACCCCGCCGTGGTACCAGTTGATGTATGACGGCGGAGCTATCATTGCGTCTCTAACCAGACACCTGAGGGCCACTGTGCTTCCTACTCGTACATACACATCGGATTCTCCTAGAATTTCGGTATGAGGAACCACAACATGTAGGTTCACTATCGAACTCATCTTGCGGTCGCTCTCTGAAGAACCCGACACCTGGCACTCGTACGATCCAGCGTCACGCTGCTGCACGTACTTCACCTACGGTCAAAGTGCATAGTAGTATTAAATTATTTCGGTAATGCGGAATGCTGAGGATTTGTGCATACGTGATGTTACTAGATGGCAAATGAAGCAAGGGTGCATATACATACGTACTTTATATAATGAATCCAGAAGCATACATTTTATGCGATTTTTGTAAGACGGTTACAAAAAGGTAAACCATATTTTTTTCAAGTTATTAATTATTGTTTTAAGAATATAAAATTAAATCAAATAGTCAATGAGTTTTAATTCTAGAAGAGAATTATGTGAGATGTCTCGAAACATTGACCACTGACCATACCCATCATTTTTGCCTTCCATATTTTTAATCCAGTCAAATGTTGCAATCATATGAACTACGAACAAGAATTTTTTTTCTTACAAGTATTTTCTTTTACATATTTTTTTCTTATTCTCTATTTTTGCAAAAAAATAGTGAAAATCTGAATTTGAGGGAGAGCGTAGTTTATACTGAAGAAAAGTTTATAAAGATGACCCTATGAAATTTTCAAATAAATCAGTAAAGTAGAAGTTGAGAAATCTTGGGTAACGTATCAAAAAAGGCAATTTCGAAAAAACGCGTTTAGAGTTTTGCAAGGAAAGGAAACAGACGAGAATTTTTATGGTCTCCAAAAATAATTCAAATTTAAAAAAAAACTTGAATAGTTAAACTTTGTAATATTAAAAAAAATCGATCTTTCAAAACTCAAGACCAGAATACCTCTTTACTTCTTATTATTGCGTTTTCCCTGTCTGCCGCTGAATGCACTTATATCATTTTTACATATACTATTTCTAAATGAATATTTTCTGTAGATCAAGGTATAAAAAAAGTTGAAATTTGACTTCAACGTCTCTTACTAAATTACTTGTTTGTATTCCAGGCACAACATTTCCAAGTATTAAAGCTGCATTAACTTTGTTTATTAATAATATATATATATATATATATATATATATATATAATTGAATTTATTGTGCATATATTTAAACTTCATACCTATATTCTAATGAGTAGATTTTTAATTTTGGAACTCGTGCAAATATGCGATTAGAAAAGTCCAATCTGTCATATATATCGTGAATCTTTATAAACACCTATTATTATTTTAATCTTTTGTTATTATAGTAAATTATATTATGTATTAATATCACAAAACAATGGCTTAATTTTGAAAAATAGAAGGTATTTTTGAATATTGTGGAAGAATGTTTAAGCGTAACCGTATTTGATCTTTCGCTTATTAGAAAAGAAAATATGCAATTAAAAAAAGAGTTCAAATTCTCTCTATTTAGAACTTGCAACTTCTTCTACATTTTTTCATTATAATGTTTTTTTAAAAAAATTGTTCATATATAAAAAACAAACAATATTTACCTAATCATTTTTAGTTTTTGAATGATTCTGATCAGTTTCATCTTGTCTGTTATTACAGAAATATGTATTGTATATATTAGTATCGTGAAACGTTGGCTTGGCTTTGTAAAATAAAATGTATTTTAATATTGTGAAAGTATTTTGTGCAAGTGCAACTATTCTCGATTTTTGCGAAACCAGATACCGCCGACCATTTTTCTTAGCCATTGCGCTAAACTTCAAATACTTTACATTTGAATGAAGTGCATCGTATTTTAAATGTTGAAGTTAAGAAGCTTTTCATCTAAAGAACCACTTCAACTTTGAATAATAGTTTTTGGAATTGTATTACAACGAGCATTTTTGTTTTATCTCTCGGTTTGAAAACATCTAGAGCTTTTACATGTAATGTAACCATTCGGAATTTCAGGGTATTGAATATTATTTACATGTCAATGATGCTAGAATTCGTGCGACTGCTTTACCCATATAGCATCCTGTTCAGTGTTCGACATGATTGTGCCGGTTAAATGCATAGAGTGGTGCTTTTGGTAATTTTGACGTTTTCAAGATAATTTATACATTGATTCAAACAACTTTAATTTGGTAATAATTAACATATATTAATGGGAATGAATTTTTATATTTAATTATTAAACAATGTAATCATAATTATAGTATGTGTATATTTTGCTTTGCATTATATCTATGCTTACATTATTATTAAACTGACTTTATAAATAAATAAATAAATAAATAAATAAATTTAGCTATCATCAATATCATTTAAAATATAGGCGTTCATTTAGAATAATGCCATAGCAGTTGCTATTTGGTTAATAATTCTAAAACATTCTTTTTACTTGCTCATCTTATGAATTAATACTTCAATCTCATTGTTAACTTTTTATTGGATACGTTATTATAATCACAAAAAATCGAAAATAAAATTGTTTGTATCATGTAAAATTACTAATAAACATTATTCAAAATTTTTATATGATGTATTTGCTTTTACTTAAATGCCATCTTGTACAGTAGCAAATAAGTTTTACTTCAATCGTGTGTGAACCTTACGCGCACTCTTTTTTTATTGATTATTCTTTTTAGTTCTTGAAATTTCAATTACGGTAAGGTATATTCCAGCAATTTGCTAAGGCACAAGCCATATTTGACTAGTTTTTGTTTTATATTGTTTCAAAATGTTAATCAACTTATGGTTCACAATATAAAAAAAACAGTTGGTATATACAGGGTGTCCCAGAACTTCAACGTAATACTGATACAGCGTGACAATATGGATTGCAACTATCATGAACAATTTTAAATAAATTAATAAATGTTATAAAATCATTGAGAGTTGATTTAGCTTATAGACCTTATAAAGAAAAGTTTATAAATGTAAGTGTAACAGAATTCATTATATCGATCACCTCCTTTCTGTGCCTTTTCACGCCATCCAATTGTCTTCAAGAAATTTCAATACCTACGATTATTAGATCTGTTATAGATCTGAATATTTAAATTTTAAAACTCGATCTTTTTCAGTCAGACGTTTAGCCATTATCGAAATCATTTTAATACTATCGCATATAACTATTGCAATACATAATAAATTTTTGCTGTCGAAACATGAAACTTTAATGATCGTCAGAGTAAAGTATTTATAATACGCAAGGGAGCATCGTTATCACGGTACTGAAATTTGAGCTTGCTTTGCTTTAGCGTAATGCACTATTTTACTAACAAAATAAAACGATGTTAACGTACGCCTTGCCATGATATAATACATTTACTATTAAGTGAAAAATATCTAATTAAAAACGTGGTGCTTTAATGTATGAATTGAGCTTTGAAAATGAGCTTTCGTAACATATATTTTATTTAATAAATGGCAGAATAAAATTGAGAACTATTTGTTTTAAACATGAAATGGCATTAGTTCTAAGTATTGTGAATATATAAACAAAACAAATTAATATATACAAACATTTGCCAGCTTTTTTGGTTCTACTCAATATCTACTTAAACTAGTTGTAAAAGTTGTAAAAGTGGTAATTTGTCTTGGCAAGTTGTAAAATAATCGACTTAATCAAGAAGAATTGAGATTCCGCAACTTAACAAATTTTCACATTTCGACATCCACCATTATTCCAAACTTTGAATTTTTATAATTAAACCAATTTTCATAGACCTAATATTTTAGGTTGTTTGTTAAAACTATACACTCTATCAATATGCAAAATTTCATTAAATTGACTAAAAATTTTTTTTATTTCAAAACTATTTATTGAGAAGGAATTGTTCGGCAGATGATTGTGCAAGTTGCATGAACTTTCCAAAAGTGTAATTAACCTTTTTAATCAATAATATTTTTTTGGATTAAAATATGATTCACTTGATTATTTGTTCCCCTGTCTGCCTATTTCTGTCTATCTGTTTAGCTATCTACCTGCCTATCGGTTCATCTGTTTACCTGCCTAAATGTCCACTTCTTTACCAGCATACCAGTGTATAATTTTGTCAGTCTACCATTATATCTGAATACATATCTCCTCTTCTACTATTTTTGCCTGATTACTTGTCTGCCTAGCTGTCTACCTGTATACCTGTCTACCTATTAACTAAATCTTATTTGTATATGAATCAATAATAATATATTTTAAAGATAATATTTGATGATCAAATGACAAATTTTGCAAGTATTTTTTTGCAAAACCTTCGAAAAAATATAATGAATTCTTCATTCTGTCAACACAAGTAAAATATTGAATCATTCAAATCGAATGCTAAGTAGTCTCAAAAACAGTAATTTTCAGCCCTTTTTGCTCTGCATCTTCCAAACGGCTGGATCTGTCTTCCAAATCGATTGCTGCGTTCTCACAAAAACTGAATTTCCATTTTCTGAAGTTTTTGCTCCGTATATCTGAAACGACTGTACCTGCCTCTACCAAAAATTAAATAACACATCCCTCTATCAATAGGAATAGAATGTTTTTTTAATAGTCTAAATCGGTTGATTCCTCTGCCAGAAATCGTGGACGAAAAATTGTATCCATGCACACACACTCGCATACATCCATTTATTTTATGGTATGTACAAATGTTCAGAAGGTCTTGATACATGAAGATATGCAAGAATTATTATTCTCGATTTTTGGACGATTACTATAATACCCTACAGGAAACTAACCTGCCAGTCAACTAATATCTTTAAAAATATTGGATAAGAAAATTTGCAGTATACTACAAATGGTAAGAAAACGACGTTACTCGTCGTGCAAAATTAATTAATGTGAGTTCTTACAGCTTCATCGGATGTATCAAATTTTTGAAACGGCGACAAAAGATCAAAGTTTGGCTTACATACGCATTTCTCCCATTTTCAATTCGACTTGCAATGTCGAGACAGTATAACATTAGCAAATAGATTGTCTTGTATACACTACTACTACATAGAAAAGTTAACAAAACAATGATTTACGTTGAACATAGTTTATTGAATACAACGATTGATTCACCTGCCGATGAATTAAATAATATCATCAATTGAATTGAATTAATATCCAAAGTGCATTGGCAATATGTACATGCCTTCGAAGCTTTCAAGTGTTAGTACTGTAGATGTCATTATTCT